TATATTCGAAGATGAGTCAAATTGGTCTGTCGGAGGACCGGTGGGGGTCATTATACTATGTGTGAGAACTTTGTTGCATCTATAGTGCAACTCTACACAGTAGGGATTATAAATATGATTTATTAACGAAACGTGCATATTTCATTCACTTGTGTATATTTTCCAGTCTCTCGTATGTTTTTCAATCACTTTATTATTGGATCAAAATTCACCAATGTGCCAATTAATCCTGATGTAACTGGATGCAAGAATTCACTTGCTATCAGTCTTGGATATAATTCCGGTTAATTATCTGATAAAAAACATCCGAAACAATAGCATGATATGATAATAAAGTTTTACTTATCTTTAATAATGTTATGCATTTACCTTAAATAATAAAACAAAAAAAATCCTTAACTTTCACCTATGTAATTCATACAACCCATTACAAGATTGGTTCATAACGTATTGGTTGTTTCCACTAATGAAGTGCAAAGTGGCAAAAAAATAAAACAGGTTGCGTAAGGAATAAATACATGTAATTATTGACCCACAAGCACCCCACTTTCACTTGTTTTCCGTGTTAAATGGGGAATGAAACGCTCGACAGAACTGGGTCAGCGGAGCATATTTACTTTAAACTGTGTCGAACAGCAATAAATGGCGATAAATGTTAAGATTAAGAGTGAGCAGAGAGTAGCAATTCCCATTTTTCTTTGGGTAATGAGCACAGATAACAAGACGAGGATGCAGCTTCCGCTCCTTTCACTCACATTCCACCAACAATGCTGCACAGAGATGTGCATGTTCTCGTCTGCATGTATTTAGGCTTTCAAGCCGAGTTCTCCACGTGAGTAATAAAACCTTCCTTTATTTGAACCATTACGGACTTTCTCTTTGTGCTGCTGTACAAATGGGGTGCTGCTCCTGATGCTGCACGATGCCCATTTCATCCGTGTACACGTTATTCACCTTATTTGTGAAATATCAGTTTTTCGGCTCCACGGGAAAAGAGACTTTGTGAGCCCCATGTCTGGCCTGGTCACTCAGTTTCTCACTGGTTGTTCAGTTTGTGGCGAGTTTTTATGTCGCTTAATGGGTTTGTTTGTCCTTAATGGTTCCTGTGGTGGGTGGCATGCTCCGTATTTGATCTATAGTGCAGTTGAATGTGTTTTCTTCTTTCAGCACAGATTTTTATTTGATTAAAAGCAGCTTTAAGATCAGTCCATCATTGGTTCACGTCTTAGGATTTCCTTGATCGACCAAGTCGCATACTTATTCGTATTTATAGTGACAATTAAATATAATAATAACGATGGAGCGATGGAGGAAGAATTTTGGTGAACACTTGACTGTAAATTTAACAAGCTGCCTTAAAATTTTGGTCCAAGGACGAAAAAAACTAAGTATGTACCTATGTGGTGCAAGTAAGTGAAAGCAATTTAATGATGCTAACACATATTTGATTGCATCCAGCTCTTTCATTTTATTGAGTTTACTTTGCCCAATTCCTTATCCCAGTCAGTTTCTCGACTTGTGTGTATGGCGTAAAAACTTGCTCAATAAATTTTGACTGTTGGTCAGGTTGAGGTTACACAAAAGTAAACGTCCTTTGGGCTTTCAACTTTATTTTTTCGTATGGAACACAAGATGCTCAGCTCGCGTTCATTGCGCTCTTTCGTGGAATATGATCCTCTTGGGTCTTTTGATCAACATATTGGTTTCCAGTAAATTGAGGTTTAAGAAGGCATACAAATATCGGTGACCGTAATTTGACATGCTCTTTATTAATCAGAAAAAAGAATCCGGAAGTAGAACTATGTCAAGGAATATGTAGGTTTGAATTATTAACAATTCCTCTGAAATCCATTTCAACTTTCATACCGTTGTGACATACTTTCTCCCTCTCGTAAGGATGCGAATCGTGGTCCATCAAATCAGCGACTTTCCTTCTCTTAACAGAATTGTGTGTGATGAAATACATTCTGTTAGCTCGTACTTTCTCTTCACTTTCTCCTCTTTCTTTTATCGAAATCTAGTAGTCTATCGGATCGATGTTATACCCGCAGCGCTAGAAGTTTTTCACTTCTTTCTCGTCAGTTTTTCTAGTTTTAGTCTTTATTTCAATAATGAATCTCCACTCAATAATGTAATTAATAAGGTTCTTGAAGCAACCAATTATGACCATTGTAATCGGTAGTGATTATTGATTGCTATGTAATAAATCCATTGAAGGTTGTTGATGATATAAAAAAGAATGTTTTCAGCACAGCCCTTTTAAAATATCAAGAACATGATATTTAGCAGCATCCAGGCATGCAGTCTTGATGGACAATCCATGATCTCAATTGTTCGCCAGTCGTGTTTTAACTTTGTCTAAATTAACTGAGGAAGAAGTTGGAAGCACCAAAAGTAATTTAATCTAAAACTAAGCAAGTAAAAGCAAGCAATGCCATTACTAATGGCAAACTTAACTGGAGTCTAATGGTCCATTAGACTCCAGTTAAATTGCTCTGTAATTGGTTGATCAAAATATTTATTCAATCGTGACACATTTTGCCTTCTATTAAAAAATATTTGCAAACGGAAGAAAAAGTATTTGGTGTCAGTTTCTCCAAATAAACTGCTCCTAAATGGGTAAAAATGTAGTGGCACTGAAGTTTTATTGGAGAAAACTCTCTCTCTTTTTCTCAAGTGTTCCTACAATAGAAATGAAACCACTTTCATTTCCAAAAGACTAAAAAAGCCTGTGGAGGCTTCCCTATACGTTTTGAATGTACATAGTCAACAGGGATGATATGCAGTGGATATTTATGCAGTAGTTCATAGTATATACATATACGCATGGATGGACAAATACATTCTGTGACTGCGATAAGAATTGAGCGACAGTGAGACGGATAGGAACATCAGAATGGAGAAATGGATGGTGGGATGTCGGATTTGTGATATCCTTCTCGATTCTAAATTCGAATAGATTAAAGTTTTGCTGGTTAGTGCTGTACGGGTTTCTCGATGTGGATATTGAAATGTGTTTGATCTCTGTTAAAGCAATCACAGGGTTCATCCATGAGAGTGAAGAGCTCACGAAAAAATCATGAGTTACCCCCGAGTCTGTAATAAATTGAGATACTTAGAGCCTGGCATAGGCACTGGTCTGCCAGACACGTAATACAATCATCGCCACCTATTGTACTAAATGTTTGTAATTAAATTATACATTTAAATATGAAGTGCATGAACTGTCCTTTTCAGAAAAAGGAATATCCGAGGAATGAATGGCAACTGTCTGTTGCTTCTTCTTCTTCGTCCTCTTCTTTGGGTATGCAGCCCGCCTGGCGAGCTAGGTTTATTCCATGGACTAGTCAGGGGCAAAGTATCACTAATGCAAGCACTTTCTCCAGTGATCTCACTCTGCTCTTTGGGATGGGGTACGCTGTGTACAAACTGGTTGGCTGAGGATTCCCATGAATTCTGTCATTACGTGAACGACTCGGATAACATAAAATTCAATCTATTCGCAAACATAAAATGCACTGATCAAAAAATGTATCACGATCTATCGATTTTGCTGAAATTTGGGTTATCAGTTCCACGACGGATCCTGTACACGGAGCACTTGGTCGTCACCACGGATGGTTTCTATCTTTGTCCTCTACACACCACAGCTATTTAAAGCTGGGATGTATGTAGCATTGTGAGAGCGAGTGTCCCACGCAAGGCATCGTTCTTTCGAAAACCCAACCAAAGCAAAGTAGCCTCCGCCAGCCAGCACATCCAACTTTCTCCCCACGAGAGGATGAGGAACGTGAATGGAACTGTTGGCTGTGCGGCGGAGTGTGTTCAATCTGAGAAAGTGAGTGCGAGGTGGCTGGCTTGGCTCAAAGTAGTTCAGACTTTCACCCAGAGCACACACACGCATACCACACAAGGCTTGTGGTGGTTCGTCCTCTGCTTCTCTCGTCCCTTATTTTCTACATCTTCCCATTTGCGAAATCCTTCTCTGCTCTCTTCCACCTCTCACTGTGTCTGGATCACGTCCTGATTTCCACCTCAAACCCAAATATTGTCGTCTGGAAGTCGCTTTAATAAAATCATAAACATTCATATTCAGTCCACAAGCAAAGTCACCTTCCATTTCTTCATTATCGCCACAAGAGGGGAAGTCTCAGAGTAAAAATTCCACCTGAAAATATTGATTCATTTAAACATAAACTGAGTCGTCATCATCTGCAGTCGACGAAGGAGAAGAGGGAAAGTATTGCCATTAAACTTTTAGTGAGGTTGTACGAGAACTGGATCTCAACGTCAGGAAAAGTAGATAATAAAATAAGATATCCGACTTTTTAAGATTAAGCAAAGCGTGGGAACGTGCCGTTTGTTCGGAACATAACATGACTCTAAAGTGCATGACTGCTTCGGGCTGTTCACCACGACTTCATGGACCTTGCATCCGTGAAAAAATTCCATAAATTTGTCCTCATTCCTTCTGCCAGTCGGTGTGTGTGTGTGGACCGGGGAAGAAATTCAAGGGAGCTCAACAGCCTGTCACACGAGTGCGGCTATGTCGATGTTGTAGCATAATTTGCAAGAGGAAGAAATGAAGACGTCAGTTGTAACTTGCCCTTTGGTCTTGAGGAACATGTGACAAGTGTTGTTTGGGTCAACTATATAACTAACTAACTAACCAACTAGCTAGTGCATACTAGAACACGCAGCACGAGTTGTGTAGCTCAGAGACAGCGAGAAGGAAGAAAATGCCTTTCTTCACGTCTGCAGACAGCCTCTGCTACTAGTTTGAGTCAGTTACTTTCTACGAACGGGTATCCATACGCAGAAGAGAAAGAGGAAAGAAGATTCAACGGGAAATCTTCAAGTATGAATGTGGGTAACTAAGCGGTGCTTGATTGGTGGATGTTTCAGTCATCAGTGAAAGTTGGATGAAAGGATTTGAGGACGACGACATAATTCCATTAACGAAAATTGCACAAATTTTTACCATTCTGAAATAGAAATTAATATTCGGCAAGCACATCACATTTATTATCATTTGAGAAAATCTTCTTGCATAATATGCACATCTACATACGTTCGCTGAAAACCTGGTATTAATCTCCCAGCGAGTGTTAGAAATGTAGGGTAAAAAGGATATTGAGAAATCACGTGAGACTGGTGAGAGACTTGGAGAAGATGAAACGGAGTAAATCTCAATTGTGGTGGTTTTAGACAGAACCTCGAGCTGTAATTTCGTATTTGTATTGTACTTTGTCTTTTTTTAATTATCAGCCAAACCAACCGTAACTGAAGTCGACCTTTATTAATTTATGGCGTCAGCAGTATTCTCATTTCGCCTGATATTCACAATACATTTGTTTCCGTAGAAGACTGAGTAAATTTTTAATTAGGTCGGGCCAGCTGCGACCAGCATTATCCTGTAATTGGTTGTTTTCCATGTAGTATATGCCACAATTCTGTAACAGCAACAACTACTTTGTCACTGAAGCCTGCAGAGTTGATAGAAATAGTTTATTAGGTCAGTTCTAACAGACATGTCAGTCCACATTGCACAAAACCCAATAGTTCCGAATTCGATAAGTCTATTTACGTGTGCTCGCTGCTGCTAAACCACGGCTACACTGGCTACATATTTAATAAATAAACGTGTCACCAAACTCGGAAGGATGCATTGGCACTAATTCTAGGTGATGAGTATCGTAGCACAAACCTGGGAATCAATATTTTTCTTTAAATTACACACAGTGAAATAGTCGAGTATTATTTAATAATCAAGCACTTGCCCTCCTGTCCCTGTCATTTGCCGTCACTCAAAATCTTTCTCAGCTTTGTCAACTCGATAAACTAGGATTGGTGTCACGATGATGACATTTAGTTTGGCTGGAAAGTGTCAAACAGATGCTACTGCAATATACAAAAAAGTTCGTGGGTGGGGACCCGAATGTCAAATTATTGTTGCATTAGGACAAAAGGTCTTTAAGAAGAAACCAGGAAAGCAGATTTACAAACGTCTCAAACGAAAATGCACCAGCATACACCGACAAACAGGATTCATTACCTCGTCAGTGCGCAAAATAGGATGCGAACTCACACAATTGTAATTTCAAACGTGAAAATTTTGAATGGAAGCGCACGATGTTAAAATGCGTTAAAAATAAGACGTGAGTTTGATAAGTTTGTTCCTGCTCACACTAAAAAACCACCAATGGGATCAGTTTATACAAGGAATAACACCGTTGCAAGTACAATCAACTGGTTTTCTACATGTTATATTGTCTGCATGATGCAACCACTCAAGAGACTTTGAAACGGTTGCTTTCACGTTGAACAGTTTTGATTTTCATTTAAAGTTAAGTTTTGAGCCTGTAATTTGGAAAGCAACAAAGGAGCGTGAGGAGGAGGCCAGTGAGTGAGCTGAGAGTGAATGCACAAGGGACAGGCGAATTTATTCCTCAAGTTTGCACGGAGAAAGTAAAAGCTCTAAAGCAATAAAATCCCATTTTATGAGCAGGTTGCCATTATTATCCAGTTTGGATTTTGCTCGTGGGTTGTGATGTGGCACAGGAAAGTTCTTGCAGAATGAAATAGAAAGTTGGTCAAGTCTGAGTGACACGGAATTAAGGAGGAGCTACCGGTGCTGGGATGCAGACTGATAAAACAACTATTTGTTCAAGTCTAAATTTAAAACAATGTTTCCTCAAGTTTTTAAAGTATTTCCTGAAAACTTGGTTTTCTTCGCAGCACGCGGAAAGCGTGGTAATTCACAAAGGATGTATTTTTAACACAACTAACAAAGTTTATTTCAACATGCTTTATTTGCTTTATTTTACATAAGTTTACAACACAAAAATCATAGCACTAAGGAGTCCGTAGAAGTGAATTGATATGGCGGTGCAGACTAATCAACCCCACGTCGTTATTGACGTAACTTTTATCCAGTGCTGGTGACGACAATTGGAGCTCAACAGTGTGCGGAAGGTGGATAATGTCGGAGGCACACAGGAAACGACGCCTCAATTTACAAAGATGGGCTTCTGCGTGAGTTCATTTAATTAGTTTCATGCTGCCAATCTCATCCTTGAGCTATGTACACGAATAGTATTTAGGTCGTGGTGACAAAGACCACGAGACGTATGTATTATTCTGCATGAAAATATAGCCAGTGCGGTTTGAATGATGCGTGGAAAGGGTCAAATTGAATGTAACAAATTTCAATGGAACACACACAACATGCAAAATAGTTTAAAACTTACCCTTATTTGCATAAGGTTACAGTTTCAACAATTAATAAAAACAGTCCAAATCCGAAAATGCTTTTAGATTTTACTTTCATCCGCAGTAATTCTCCACGTATAAATAAACGAGTGACATCAATAGCATAACAAATTAAGCTACGTCAATGACATCGCCGCTCTTCTGTTCATGTCCTCGCATATAGATTGGTATTCATATTGGTCTAAAAAAAATTAATCACAGTGTCGCTCTAAACTTTGACTTTTCATATTCACCCTTCACATTGTCAGGAGAGAAAGCTGGAGAACTTTATGCAAATTATTTCAGCATGGACTCCTACGTTCAATACGTACAGGCGACGGACTGCTAATCTGGAGAATTATGGAAGGGTGATGAATTATAGTCGATGACGGAGTGCAAAATATTGTTGTTTCTGATCCGGACTAATTTGTTTATAAACTTGCCTTCATTTTCACCCTCTCATTTTGAAAGTGACGCTGTTCGATGGAGAGTGTAAATAAACCAAGTAATAAATTAACTCGAGAAGTTTTGCTGATTTGGAAATAAGTTAATTAGGAAGCATTGAGGCTTGAGATAACTTTAAATCCCAAAGTTTTGATAACAGAGATGGAGACTTTGCGTACTAATTTGTAAGTAAATATGTGCGTGTGTCTCTATATTATTTTCACATGTGTTCCTCACGTCTTGATGCATTACGTTTGTTATTTTAATAACGGTTATATGTAGATAATTACCGTATACTGGCAATTATTCTTTCTATAAAATCAGAAAAGCTAATAATAACTCAAGTGCTAGAAGAGCGACGTATACTTTGGTCATTGGTAATATGTACTTAGTAAGTAAAATGTTTTTGTCAAAGGACAAAATACATAACTGGTTTTATTTACGCAAAACTAAGAGTTGTAGAAAGCTATATTTTAGGGTTAAAAAGTAAATGCTAATCGAGACATGCATTGAGATTGCAATTCCACGACTGGTGATGAAAAGTTTATCAAATTAAGGTGCTGAGGACATGGACGTATTTTGTGTGCAAATTGGACATTTATTTATGTTCCTTTGGATGGGATGCGAAAAATAGATGTTCAAAGTCTTTGTAATAGTTCATTTCATTCATATATCATCAGGAGTAAAGGTGAAAGAAATAGTGTCTACAATAAAATATAATTTATTCTCTATAAATATACACATAAATAATAAAATGTTTTCACCCTTTTGAAAGAGAAAGCAAAGTTTGGCGTGTCCTTATCTTTCTCGTTGAGATCAAAGAGACAAATGAGCTCCATAAGCTTGTTTAAAGTTATATTTCACTTGAATTTCAAGTTGTTCTATCGTGTTTGAAGAGTTGCTTTATTATCACTACAAAACAATACAATGTAATAAACAAGAATGTGTTCAATCACTATTAAATGCTAGTTCTAAATTTCTGTGGAAAATGAAAAGTATGATATTTGTCAATTTCTCAGTTTCAAACCCCAAATTTTGACAATGTGCTAATATGTTATTACCATCAACTAGTAGGTGAATGGTCTAGCAAAATCGTTGCTACACATCTCGTTAATCATAGTTATATAATTAATTATAAAATTTAATTCTGTGACCCAAAAGAATAATATATTTATTGTATAAAAAGTACGATGTTGAAGTACCGAACTTACATACATAAGTTAAACTGTGTTCCGAGATCTTATGACAACTGGATTGTTGCACAAGATTTTCTAACGAACATATTTCGCACGTGTTAATGCAACTTAATTTAAACTAATTTAAAGCCTGATCATCTTAATCCATGTATTTTGTTTTGCTGGGAAAATTCTTGGGGAGATTTTATACTGATCCACATTTAATTCTTTCTTTACTCTATTGTGATTTTAAACAGATATTCAATAATTTTTGTATTGAAAATTCAATCCTTGCTGTGGTGAACAAGCGTTTTGCACTCTTCTTGCTTCCGCAAAGTTGGAAAGCAAAAAGGTTGGCATCTCTCCAAATGTCTTTACTAAAGATAAGAAAATTTGACATCTACATAAGTGCGTCCACTAAATAGCTCATCTTCGCGGTTTGCTGGTTTACTTGACAATGACGTTAGCCAAATAGAAATGTTTAGCTTAGAAAGGAAGTACATAAAAACCTCTAGCATCGAAGCTGGATTCGTAAGCCCGAGCCAGATATTTTATATTTCTTTAACGAATCCGATTAGTTTGCTCCAAATCTGTATTAGCAAAAATTGTGTATGCAAAATATTAGCTTGACAGGACAAGGCGTATTTGGTCTCAAATGATCCTACTTTCTAACACTTCCCCACTGTTACAGAAATGGCTTAAAAGCCATTAGTAAAATTTAATGTCACAATTTACGAACAAGTCAGAAACACAAGTACAGAAATTTTAACTAAATTTTCTCATCGTCGAACTTGGCGAGTCTTCTGGCTCATATTTAATATGACAAAAATTACAACTCAATCTGAAAAGTTTAAAGGGATTACATACGTATATGCTGCTGTAACGCAAGGACAAACTGACATGAAGACGCAATAAGCTCTTGTTCAAGGGGCCAATCTCATACAAATCTCATAATTTATTGTTATGATCATTCGAATATGAATTACTTTGGTGGTGAGGGTAACTTTTCTCACATCTGATAAATGTGTATGCACCCTGTAACTTTTGTCATCATTTAATTTCACTGAACATCTTATTTTCTATCTTTTTTGTCGTTTCCCTTGTGAATTATTTTTATAAAATCATTTTTCATATAACATGAAACAGAACTACTTTAAATATAATCAAATGTCTAAAGTTGGGAAGTTTCGATATTCGAATCCGATATTCGGATTTTAGAGAAATTTTGTCGGAATACTCACTATTTCTACATATGTATCCACAATACATAATAATACCATAATTTGTGTGCACTTGCATTAACTTACATAGGTACAACATTACTAAAATCCGTTTGGCAACCATTGCTTGCAGATGTGAGGTATCCGAAGTTGGGCTTTAATTCAATATGTGGCCATGCAAGAATGAAATACTGAATTAATTTAAACTGACTTATGAATAGGGCATGACTGGAATTGTCCAGAGTGTGGTCTGGTCTACCCTGTAAGTGAAATTTGCTCTGTTGAATGATGGAGTGCGCTCTCTCTCTCTACCTTAATCCAGAATTTCTCCTTGACATCATATTTCACCAGTTTAGGCCTAGTTCAATATTGGGAAGATAAATAATTAAATAAATCACGAGTGCTACCTATAACGAACAATGAGCTCCCTCCACATTAGCAGGTCAAAATTGCAATTATATTTATGCGTGATATCCACAAAGCTCAGGGAAGACAGGGAATGATTATTTGACAAATTGAAGAATCAACTGAAGTTCTGTATGAAATTTAATGTGCGCATTATTTATAAAAGGCCATAAATCATGCTGCCGGTTGAATGGTTGGTGAGCGGAGAGTGAGAAGTGGGCGATCTCCTCATCTACCTGGAGGGTGAGAAAAGAAAGCCGGAGAAAGTGGGTCCATTTTGTGAGCTGCAGATGGTGCTCAACATTTCGAAATGGGAAACTCGCTCCCAGTTATCCCTTTCACCCACCTTCGTTGGTTTGTCTCCCTCCGAGCTGGGATTAGCACGTGGTTTCCTTCAGCACACTCTCCCATCGTGGTGTTTCCCCACCGAAGACCGACCGACCCAGATTCTGATCATCCCAAATCCGATACATCAATAAGTCCACCGACGGCTCGCTATCTTTCTCCTTCTTTGCGAACAGAAAGTGAGGAGCTGGGGAATTTCGTTTAATGTCGCAAAAATACAGTTTTTAGGTTTTCTTGATGTTCGGCATTTTATCTCGAGTTGGTTATCGGCTTTTACAGATCGTATTTCTAGGTTTCTGAGTGTAATAATTTGCTCACAGGGTTTTAGTAGAACCATGAACAATACATGCATCTATCTATTTTTATCAAGTAAAAAATATCTGTTTATAGATAAATTTTCTCGTGAAAGTGACGTCGATCTATTAAAAGGTGCGAGGGGCATTGTGAGACTAGGTCACGAGCCTCATAAGCTATTTTATGCTTTAAAGTGATGTTTCCATATACTTATCAAAAAAATATTTGCGTGTACGTGTAGGAGTAGGAAGGCCAGCTAATAACAGGTGCATGCGTTGCTCCGTGGCCCCTTGATCGCTTATAGGACGGTTCAAAAATATTGTCTAAAGCTTAGCGAAAGTGGAGACGAAAAGTTTGTCATTTTTATAATGTTTGGCTGGTGAACTGAACTAATGCGTACTTGGAGCGACAAAGTTGAAATGCCACACGGCCGCACGACGATGTGGAGCCTACGGTGAAAGTTTTCGGGTAGAATTATCATTTTCACATTCTTCTCCTCATGGATGTCTATATATCCTCCGTGAACTAGCAGAATGGCTCCAAAGCCACGCTTGTAAAACTTTAGTTTCTTTTGAAACATGAGCGAAAGGGACAACCCATTATTACACTATCGACAAAATCCACCAATCTTAATCTGGTGGCTGGCAGGAGTGAGGAGAAAGGTCACCAATTGTGTTGCGACGACTAGAAAATTTATCACATTTTCTGACTTGACGAATAACATTAAATAAAGTATCTCGAAGGATAGCTATGTGCCCCCAAATCATTCTGCTCCATCAATAACGTCCAATTTTATTCTTTTTCATTTCCCACCTTCACAGAGAGAGCCATACGTGACTTTGAAGATGTTGTATTCCGCTGTTGTATATATGTAACTTGTAGGGCTGCTCAAAATCTCCAG